ATTTAATCATATTAAGCCCCCCCCCCCCCCCCCCCCACCAAGAGGGACTCTAATGTTCGATGCCCGAAACGGCAAAGCCTGCGCCGAAAACTCCACAGTAGACTCGAAAGCCCAATGCCTGTAACGGCGACAGCATCCACCACTCGATGGACAGCGTTGCAGGCTCGTTTGGCTGAAGGGTGGAAGGCCGGAAGGAGCTCACCTGCTAAACAATGTCGCATGATCCAGGTCAGATCGCTGCTCAGGTGCTTCAAGGTTAAACTAAGGTTCGGTGGGGGTAGGGTTTGTGTTGTTTGCGGCTCGTTTTGTTGCCACGGAACTCGCTTCGAGGTACCACAATGAGAAAGTTGTGTATTATGATACCCAAACCTTAACCCTCAAACTCCAACCCCTCAACCCTGGTAGCAACCGCACATCTCTACACCGCTTTAACGAAAGCCTCCATCCAGTGCCAGACAGAGTAGCCATCTGCTGTAGCCACGGCCATCTCCTGAGATGCACTTCGGATCTCCTTCGAGGTCTTGTGGGTTGGGCTTTCGGGGTTGCATTTCTCTAGAGTTGTTGAGAATGTCGGTGTTTACGGCTAATTAGCGGTGTAGGGCTTAGCGGCTTTAGTGCTTAAGGGGATTTAGGGTGTATGGTTTCGGATTTGGAGAGCTTGTGGCTTGGGGGTATATGTGCCTCTTAGGACTGCGTACGGCTGGGGGCTGGGGTGAAGCGACCAACTTGCCTCGCTACACACCCGCTCCAAGTCACAGTCCAAATGCCCGTCAGTCAACTTCAGAGCTCCAGAATCGAAGATACTTGCTGTTGGGCGCCTCCCTTCTCCTTCCGCCACAACTGGGTTGTTCTGCGCAGGGTTTGGGGTGAACTATGAGCCCTATACCCAGAACACCCAGCCCAGATCAACAAACCAAGACTCGAAAACGTCTCGCCAGGTGCTCACCAGCCACTTGCCGGCCTGAGTAAGGAGTGGCTACGGATTTTCGCGTTTAGAACGTCAGGACTGGGCATCAGCCGATCTATGAATGACACTCGAATTTCTTCGACTACCATGCTCCGATCCCTCCCCTCGTTCGAGTGAACCTTTACCATCACATCGAACGAGGGAGTCGACAGTACAAGGATGCCCCGTCTTCGCGGGATCGTGGAATCTGGGCCCAACGTGCAAAACAGCCCACTATTCACGAAACTCAACCTGCTGCCAGCAGTTGCACGAAGTACCCGAGCACAGAGCCCCCAACTTCTGACTCATCCGCATAACGCCGCGGCACATTCCCACCCGTCCCTTGCCCTCGATCTGCCAGTGCGTCCAGCTCCCGCCCCGCCCTGCCTGGGCGGCGATCAGCGGCGTTGCCTCGAGCAGAATCCGAAGAGGCGTCCCGGCCGCGATGCCCCCCAAGCTCAGCCTCGGCTAGGACGTAAGGAGGTAGTCTGGGCTCTTTCTTTTTTGTTGGGCTTTGAAGAGGTTGTAGAGTGGCTCTCTTAGGGCTTCTACAAGGGTTCAATGAGATGCAGGGGTTCACAGAGGTTTCGAGACTCCAGACACAGAAACCGCAGCGGTTGGAATAGCGCTTTGGCATCATGTAGGGACGGTGGTGCCACCAGTGTGCGCATGTGTTGGAGGCTCTTAGACTTAAGAATCTAAAGACTACAGCCTCAAAGCCCGAGACCCGAACTCCTATACCCTGAAGCCCAGACGATGAATCGCCTAGGAGCTTCATCCCCTGGCGGTGGGCGAAGCCTCGATCTTCCGGCAGGAGGCCCTCTGCAGCATCGGCGCAGGGCTGCGTCTCCTCAGGCTTCGGAGCTCGAGACTGGAGCTTCGGAGTTTGAAGCCACCACCACCACCACTGCCGCTACCGCCATGCCGGCGCCATCTAGAATAGGAAAAGCCAGCCACAGCCCCAAGCTTCAACGTAAGGCAAGCATCGTAGACGTGCGGAAAGCAGGGCTCGTTGGAGGGCTCGGGAACCTCACCTGGGCTCGGGGAGTCTACTTAGTGCCTTAGGGTTTTACGTTCAGGGCTCAGGTGTAGGTTTTGGGCTTGGGTTGAGGAATCATTTTAAATTGTGAGCAGGATGATAAAGGTCATTACAACACTGCTTAATGCGCAACACAGGAATTAGCGCAGTGCACCCTTCAGGTCCCCTTATGGGCTTCCGAGTCGCAGGGAGCCGGTATCGGTGCCCCAGAGGACACCCCGGGGCCCTGGACGTAGCAGGAGAAGGGGTGCAGCAGAATTCCCGGAGGGGCCCGGATCCAGACCTGAGCTGCCGTTCGGGGCAGGCTTTGCAGACTCCAAGTATACTATAATAGAATACTACATGTAGAGTATATATATATATATACACATATTATATATATATATATATATGATTACCGTAATACAATATACTATTAAATACTATAATGTAACGTAACAATAGTAGAATGGGCATTTGTAGGGATATCTTGTTCTGCAACTACTGTAGCTCGGTGTAACTCACTGCGACGATCGCACACATTGTCCGCAGACTTGAAATGACCGATATTCGCTCATAGTTTAGCTGAGAGTTCGAGGGATCTGGGGCTTAGTCTGGGCTTCGGCTGAAGCATGGACGTCGGAAATCCCAGGACTCGAAGAGGTTAGGCCAACTCCTATAGGTCCAAGACTAGCCTCCACCGATGAAGCCGAAGGCCGTTCAGGCCTAAAGCCCAAACCCACACACCTTAAACTCTCCCCACAATCCCAAACTTCTAATCCCTTTTCTAGGCCGTACTCCGAGAGTTGCAAAAGAACTTTCAACTTTGCCTCATAGCCCTTCTATCCGAACTCAGACAGGGTAGTTCTAAGCCATGCTGTCGCCCCAGACTCCCCTGATAACTTTGCTGTAGACTAAGCTGTGACGAAGCCCACAATCCTAAAATTATCAGTGCACCGATAGCATGACGCTACGGCTACGGGGATCGTTTAGGAGGTGATTTGGAGGCTTCGGGGGAAGGACCCCAGGACCCCCCACCTCGTCTCCAGGAGCAATCTCCGGTCCAACGAACTCCACGCTCACCTCCGGGCTTAGGGCTCTTTGGCCGAAGGCTTCGTGGGCTTCGAGGGCTGCTAGGGTTCAGGGCTTGGGGCTTGGGGTTTCCGGAGTTTCCGGAGTTTCCTGCAGCTTTGGTGGCTTTAGGGCTCGAGGGGTTGACTGCTTCACTCTACCAGTAGGGCTTGGATGGTGAAGATGAGTTGAAACAAACGGCTTTGCTCATAGGGCCATAGAGCCACTGCGACCGCAACTTCCGAGGCCGTGTTTTTCAACCCCCTTCTCCAACGAAGCCTTGCATAACCATCCTGCTTCCTTTCGATGGGCCTCAATGCCAATGCCCATGATTGCAAGGTTTGCTATTTGTCCCATTTTGTCCTGTAGAAGACTCTCCTTGTCTTCTCTTGTCAGGTTGCTGCGGCTGTGGTTGTCTTCCCTTTCCCCCCTTCAGGGAGCCCCAGGCCCGAGCCTGGCTCCGGGCGCCCTGCGCCGGGTTCTGGCAGGTCACGGAGAGCTCCGCCAGCCACCCGCGCCAGCGCCACTGCGACACGGAGAGGGAGCCCACCACGAAGCCTGGGAGGGAGGCCAAAGCGCCGAAGCTGGCCTGCGTCTCCTGGCGCAGCTCTCTTGAAAGCTTCTCCGAACGCAAAACCCGGAAGCCTCAAACCACGGCCCTAGATCCAAGCCCGGAAGGCGTCTCCTGGGAAGCTTGCATCTGGGTGCCGGCGAAGAGCTGGACCGTCCAGCTCCGCCGGAAGAACGGAAGCTCCTCAACTACCGCGCATTGACACAGATTCTGTTTGAGAAACCCTTGTCAGGAATGCTACTTGTATAATATCATAATTATTATACCCTACCTCATAGGTTTTGTGTGTCTCTCGCCAACTCTTTGTTTGGATAAAGTCCTGGGCATCGGCCAACACACGGAGGTGGTATGGGCGGCTGGCGGACCACGGCGAGGAGAGGCTCCAAAGCACCAGCCGGAAGCTCCTCCGGCAGCCGGGCAAGTACCAGTAAATGGTGAGAGTTTGGGTCAGAGATTACAGATTACGTGCCGTAGGGATTAGACGGTTTGGCATAGGGGGTTAGGATTCAACAAAATACATACAACACTGAATGAAAGAATCAGCTGTGACAGTGCTGTGACCCTGGGCTCCTCCACCCAGTGGGAGCGCCCTCTGTCTGGCAGCTGGTGCCTTGAGGTAGCATTTGGGTGGCAAGTGCCTGCGGGCTCTCGCAAAGCGCACTCACGTAGGGCGGAGGGTACAGCACCAGCGCACCCGCCCTTACCTTGGTCGCTCAGGAGCTTGCTTTGGGATGCTTTTTACAAGCTCAGTGTTCACTACCTCTGCTGGAAAACCAAACAAGGCTTCTGCATAACGTAGGGGCCAAAATAACATAGTATAAAATACCCCAAAACCCTATTCTACTTATTAAGGCCCCTATATATCCTATATTCATCTCTACCACGTCACCGCCACTGCGAGGGTGAAGTCCACGTCCACAGGATAGGCCTCGCCCACCGGAGATGTCAGCGGCGGGGGCGTGAAGGCCATGGAGCCCAGGAGCCGGCGGACCTGAAACCTCGAAGCTTCCCAGGTACAGGCTTGGAATCCGGACTAAGCCCTTCGAACCCGCCACCCTGAAGCCTCAAACATCCTTGAACCCTGCTCAAAAAGCCCCGGCGACGTGGGGATGGGCCGGGAGGTGTCGATGCTCTCGCCATCCGGGAGCCGCGTCTTCACCGTCCAGGTGGCGGAGGTGTCGGAGTTTGGGCCGCCGGTCTGGAGACCCAAGGCCAGCCTCAGAGTTCAGGGCCTACCCATAGGCCCCATAGTAGTTCCCAAAATATATAGGATCCTAAATACAAGCCACAAAAAGGAACTACTATGGGGCCTATGGGTAGGGGTTTGGAGCGTCAGACTTCAGGGCTATAACAAAAGGAAACTCCAGCGATGAGGGCCTCAGGGCTTTAGCAAATCAAAGGCTGGAAGGGCCCCATGAAGCCAAACCGAGAATTCAGCAACCAGGAGCAGGTAGGCCGCGTTGCTGGACAAAGGGGTCGTCAAGGGACCTGTGGCAAAAACGAGCTGTCTGCCCTTTTGTCCAAACAGCTGCCTGAGCGATTTTGGACATGCCAAGCCTAGAACGAAGCCGTGCGGCTGCCCCGGCAACTCAGCCCGTTGCACCACGCAGGGCGTCCCCTGCGCGACAGCATTGCCTCCCAACTCGTTCGTCTGTGCGTCGTAGAGGCCACCGGAACAGTCCGCATCGAAGTCGGCGGGCACTTCAACGTAAACGGAGCCGGAAGCTGGAACCTGCGAAGCCGTCCGGAAGTGGATCATGCAGAACCCCGTGCTGCTTTCGTGCACGTTGCCTGGCAGGATCTGCACCTGAGGCCAGCGGCAGAGCCTCTCAACACGAAAAGGAGAAGCCAAGCATCCCTGCCTCTGTCAGGGTCCGAAGCGCAGGCCCCTCCAGGCCACCCACTGCGGCCGACTCCACTTGCAACTGCCACCGCGAGTTTTGGGAGGAGTATTCGAAGTCTGCTGGGGGATTCTGAACGGTGATGCTCCTGGGCGATGTTTGCCACAGGACTCACTTCAACGAAACCGCTCCTGCTCTGCCGTAACCAGACGAGACCTAGAAAGGCGTTGCTGAAGCCTTTTCCAGAATCATCCGGTACGTCACCAGCGGGCTTATGAGGCTCTTCAAGGTGGCGATGAAAATCCGGCCGGAGCCGATGCAAGCGACAAAGTCCGGCAGCTTGGCTGCCGTGCTGCCCGTGGCACCCAAGCTGCTGGCGCTGCTGCTAACGCCTCCACAGAGGGCCCAGACTCTCGAACCGATCTCTAGACTCTAGCTAGACTCTAGGCCTCAAACCCTGAGATCACACTGAAGCCCTCAATGCTGGGAGCCTGCACTGGACTCAAAACCCCTTGCTGAAGCCGCCTGAAAGGCAGTCCGGTGGCGCTCGGAAACCATGTGGCAACGTGATCTGCACCTGGAATGCAGGCAGACTTCTGAGGGTTAGCTTCCTTCAGGGAATCGGGAGTCTTGTGATGGAGGCTGTGTAAGGATGTATGCGTAAACGGGTCCGGTGTTGTAGCAAGTTTCCAGCCTACCCAGGTGGAGTCACCAAAGAGCCGTAGCAAACGGAACTCCCAACCTGCTAAGGAGTCTTTGAGGCTGCTCGATTTCAAAGCCCAGCACATCGAGGGACCCGGCACGATCGCATCACGTCTTCAAGCCGGTGTTTGATATTTTGAGGATGAACCGAGCACAGACTTGTTGCTGGAGCCGAGGTCGGTAGCAAGAGATGAGTAAACTTTTGATCATATGCTGCTACACCGCACAGGTGCGCACCTCGCTCCGCGTCACGAGGCCGGAGCCCACATTGGCCGCTTCGTCGGCAGTGCGCTCCGGGTACGCGAAGAAGAACTCGTACACGCTGAGCGAGCCTCGGAGTTCCAAGTTTTGTGAACTTGCAGGAAGCATGGGGCAGCCGAGGAGCCGGGGCGGAGATCTTGCCCTGTGGCGCTTCTAGCCACCAGGGCCTGGCTGAAACGGTCCATACTAACCACAAGAGAAGAGTGGAACAGACAACAAGACAGAAGCAGTTGCAATTCTGAACGTGCGAAGCTGAATCATAGCACCAGGAACAGCAAAAGCGGCACCGGCCTCCAGCGACAACGAAAAAAGCAAGGATCAACACAATTACAGCAACAAGCCGCTACCAACCAACGACAGCCAAGCATCGCAACGATCCGAGCGACAACCAAATGCGATGGCAATGCAACAGCAGATGATAAGAAGCTTGTTTTGTATCTGAGTGTCAGGATGTTTGTGGGGACCAGGGAAGCAAGTACGTAGCGTGGAGCTTCCGGGTAGGTTTCTGGGCTGAAGGTTCAGGGTTTGGGCCTTTGCCCAAACTAGTGCAAACGGCTCTCAGCTTGAAGTTGGACGAACACATGGCCAGAGACAGTCAGTGCCTATAGATGTACAGAAAGAGCAATACATGACAATGTACGGGCACATGTACATCGATATCTATGTAACACGCAGATGCACATGTGTGTGTGTGTGCGCTACCTGCACGTGCCAAAATTTCAAATATGCATACTTCATACATGTACATATGAGCGTGTGCGTATACCGTATACACACAGTGCAAGGGTTTACTGTGCTCGTCAGGACGAGCAGGTCCTGGTTCAAGGGCTGCAGAAGATGGAACGTCGGAACCGTCTTCTCACACTCCTCAAGCCTTGGCGTGGTTGAGGTTCAGGCCCCGAACCTAGGGTTAAGGGCATATTGTGGCTTTGGGTGGCCGGTCTCGCCGTAAGCTCGGCTCTCGGAATTCAAACGGCCCTTTTGGCGTCGGGGGTGCTGCAAGCCATTTTTTTTTTTTGGGGGGGGGG